ACAACAACAACAACAACAACAACAACGACAACAACAACAACAACAACAACGACAACAACAACAACAACAACAACAACGACAACAACAACGACAACAACAACGACAACAACAACAACAACAACAACGACAACAACAACGACAACAACAACGACGACGACAACAACAACAACAACAACAACAACGACAACAACAACAACAACAACAACGACAACAACAACAACAACAACAACAACGACAACAACAACGACAACAACAACGACAACAACAACAACAACAACAACGACAACAACAACGACAACAACAACGAGAACAACAACAACGACAACAACAACGCCGACGGCGGTGGCGGCGGCGGAGACGACGACGACGACCTATCTTATATTATATAAGATATATAAGACATATATACATGTATAATTCGAACACTTTGCTATGCAGAAATTATGACATATTATTTTAAGATTTTTTGTGACGAAGCGTAACAACGACGACGACGACAACAGCGACGACGACGACGACGGCGGCGACGACGACGGCGGCGAAGACAACGACAATAACAACGACGACAACGACACAAAATATTGATATAGAAAAAATCATGGACGAAATTAAATGTTTTACCTTCACAACGAGGTATTCTGGAATCACTCCATACTGCAAAATTGCATACTCTATTTTGTGTACCAACCATTTGAAATCCTTGATCGCATCCGAAGGTAAGGGTGTCTTTATGTTTGTATCCATTCTTTATGATTACACCATTTCTCGGCGCAGTGAGGTTCCTGCAAGGGCCTGTAGGAATGCAATATTGGAATTGGAATTTGTCACACCAATGTCAGAACAATTTACAAATGGATTTCAAATTAGCAGATCACATTCCAAAATTACGAGTAAATTTTGTTATAACTTATATAAATATTCTCTCAATTTTGATTGACTACCGTCTTGCCAATAACTGGCGGTAATATTCAATTATATTATGTTAACAGCAAATAACCGGTGTGAACCATAGATATCTTGTATACACTAGATAGTGCATCTAATTATTCTGCAATTCAAAAATTGAAGCCGTGATTGCAGACTCGTATGTTTTCTATGTTTTCCATGAAATGAGAAGACTCGTAAGTTTTCTATTTCTTAAACAGGGAACATTAACATTAAGTTAAACCTATTCTAAATACATTTTCAAATTATTCAAATGATGAAAGTTGTTGTTGTTTTTTACTTTAATCGTTTATTACCGAGTGGGAAACTCCAAAATGGCCGCCATCTATTCAAATGGGGTAACCGCTGGAATATTCTTGGCTTCAATTTTACAAAAGAGATGCGCTATCTAATGTATATAAGATATCTATGGTGTAAACAGTTTATTGAATATGCACACAATTAAAATGCTCATTAATAATTCATGAAGAAAATTCCAAAGAAATGAATACTTAATCAATGTTTGTAAATCGGATAAAGATTTGTTCTGATTTGCATAAATCGTTTACATAAATGTTCTGATTTTCCCGGCTTAGGCAATGTTTATTTTTAAACATTGCCTAATTTGTATATCAGATAAAGATCGGCTGCACATGTTTTAACTAGTACTTATCACCTACAAGATATCAATTTCACTATTCGCTTTTGTTAAAAATACTTTTATAACGAAATTTTGCCAAACTTGCTCCGTTCTTCAGAGCTAATGTTCGTTCAGAAAGCGATTATAAATTTTGACAAAGCAGTTTCGCAAAGTATATTATTAGTTATTTTAAATTGATTTTTGATAATTTTACAATGCAATTAGAAAAATGGTGTGAAATTTCATCGTATATCAGCGCTTTGTCTGGAAACAATTTTCGTGTTTGCTTTGACAAACATGTCCAAAATACAAAAAAGTAACAAAATTTAAATACGTCATGTTTAAATGCATTTCATTTATTCCCATTCCATTTATTCAGTTTCGGTTGACAATGGGAAGATTTGTGTTGCACTGGCTTGTTAATATTTGAAAACTCGTGCAATGCAATAAGAATGACAAAAATTATGGTGAATAATTGCATGCGAAATATGAAATAGTACGGTCAATCAATTATTGAACAAGCGCTTTGCTGAATCACAAAATGTATTGGTGTGCATGCACGCTATACTGACAAATCATCATCACGAGAAACAAGGAATACTAGTTCAACCAACGGCATCCTACTTCATGTAACCAAAAGTAAAACTGTTTCTTTTCAAAACAGCTTTTACATCGGAGCTGCTAATGTGTGGAACACGCTTCCCGGTTTCATAAGAAATACCACCACATCTCTAACTACATTTAAATTTAATCCAATGAAATATTACATAGAATTAACCCAACAAATTTATGATCCTGACGATTCAAGAACATTTAAGTCTGTTTGTATTAAATGTCACACAACTCGTTATCAACTTGAACATGTTGCTAAATTTATTTTTTGTTTGTTTGTTCGTCAATACGTTTGCTTTGTCTTCTTGTATTTGTGTTTAATTGTTATGTTTGCTTTAATTTTAAAATAATTAGATATACCATAAGTTGCTCTTTTTTGGAACCCCGTTATTGGAGAACTATCTCTGTGTGGAAATTGCAGTCTTTGTAACTATATAGTACTCTTTTGATCTATTGCAATGACAAACTTGTAAAATAAAATAAACTATAAAGTAAATAAATATTTGCTCAATCACGTCCAATAATTGTAAGATATTCGAAATGAGATTGTGAATTGCATCTTACAGGTTGAAAAGTAAGGAAAGAACGAAGATAGTGTTTCGGGTTATCACGTTGTTTTAGACGATCAACACTCTACCCTAACCTTTAGGAAATATACACAAACCTCCACATGTAGGTAGTCTGTTATTCCATGTCCCATCATTGCAACGTAAGGTAACCTGACCATCAATAACCAACGGATCTCTACATCCAAATGTCACTTCCTCATTATGTCTGTAACCATCTCGCCTTATATAACCACCACGGAATGGTTGTACGCCAATTAAACCGTCTGCAGGGAGCTGAAGATATAATGTTGGTTAAATAGATAGATAGATAAGATAGATTGATAGACACTTTATTTATACACGCTAACCCCGTCAACCGAAGCTGATTTCCACGAGGGGGGCGTGTGTAAAAATAGAAAAAAATTACATGAGAAGATATTAAGAGCTATTTACAGAAAATTTGGCAAAATATTGAATTATTTACATGATACGAACGTTATCCCCGAGCCGACGGCGCGAAGCGCCGTGCGAGGGTACTAATTCCCCCCGGCTATTTACACCCGGGGAAACGAAAGCATTAGCGAAGTCTAAAGTTCATCAACGAGCGCGGGCGTCGGTCACCAACGATGGGTGGTCATCCTCAGTGATCTCAAAAATATGGCGGACCGTCATGAATAACCGACACTGATTGGTCCGATTTAAAGTTTGCATTATAACGACTGCAAGACGACAGCAAAATAGCAAACATTTCTTGATTTGATGATTGATAAATTTCTTGCAAATATATTTCATTTTTGCTCGTATTTCTGCAAGATTTTATAAATTTCAAGAAAGAAAAGGCGAAAGAATCGGCTAAAAGAAGGGAGCCGACGTTAACGAAGGTAAGTTTGTTTTAAATATTGATTTTATAATGGCTTTAAAACCCGACGGCTTTTGCGTATATGAAACAACTAAACAAGACAGCATATAATTTCAGTGTCTCTTTAATATTGATTCCTTTTTTATTATATTGAATTTTTTTAATTAAAAAATAAGCAAAGTTATTTGCAAGCGAGAATTTTAAATAATTTTATTGCAAACTCAAAGTTTCTCGATAAAGTCATAATAATAGCTAAAAGTAGTTTAGTTTTATAAAGAACACTTTAGAACGTTTTGTGAATTGTTTGTGGTTGAATTTTACCTTAAATTGAAGCTTGTATTAGGTATAATTACATACCTAACATATATATGTTGGGAAATTTATAATTTTGTAATTAAAAGTGATATTTTTAGGCGATTTTCATTTTGTAAGAATGTTCTTAAAAAATTATCGTGTTACCATGACAACTACTTTAGATACTTCATGTTCCGAAAATACAATGGTTTTATCAGCAAGGCGAGGGTTTCTGCATGCATGTATTTTCTAGTTAGAATATTTACAGGCACATTACCCTGCGTGCCAGAGGTTCTTCCACGCTCGTAGGGGATAATGAGGGATACACGAGGATTCAAGCTGGGCGGGAGGCGAGGGGGAAGAACCTCTGGAACACTTCTATAGCTTTTTATTCCAAGGGCTTTTCTGCTACCATATTCATGAAAAAAGCATGTAAATTTACTGAAACTATACGTATTTTTGTTTGTTTCTTGCCAGTTTTCTCGAGTTTTCGTATTCGGTCGTGTTTTATATCTTTCAACGTTTTAATTTTTGTCAGCCTCGCTTTAAAAATACACAACTGCACTGATCTCAAATTAGTTCGCAAGCAACACTGGAATTTTAATGAATTTCATTTTTAAATCTGATAAAAAATAAACACGTTATTTACCGGCAGCGTCGGTCCGGATGAGAAAAACTGTGCCCTCGGTCTTGAAAACGTTCCTCGCCCTTCGGGCTTGGGCCGTTTTCTAGACCTTGGGCACAGTTTTTTTCATCCGGACCTCGCAGCCGGTAAGTAAGATATATATCTCGCCTAAGGCAATATCTCGCCTCTTCCTGCCGGGAACTCGTCACTGGCGAGTTTATACTCGGCTGCATCGTCATGTAAACAGTCTCCCGGGTTTTTACTATAATTAAGTTTCTATAATATAGCCGGGAACTTGTCGTTGACGAGTATAAACTCGACTTGCCGGCTAATTCCCTCTTGGCAATATAGCAAGCATATCACGGCGATGCATCAACTCAAACACAGAAATATAAAGGCATCATCTTGATGTTTATTTAGTTTTGTAACACCGTCCAGTAAAAAAATTCAAAACCGAATCAACTGCGACCGTTGAAATCCTCTCGCAGGACTAAAGGCATATATATTTACGTCTGACTATGTTATAAATATAATGTTATTATATTAAACAACAGCGTATGCCTGTACGGATTCTGAACGATAATATCTTGAAGAACATACGGTTCAAACAGCCAATGAAAGTCATTGTTTTAACAAGTCCCTGCCGTTAACCAATTAACACTGTGATCCAGATTCTGGATCACTTCACACTATTAAGCATCGTGATTGGTGCGGTTCGAGAATCTGAGAAACCATAGAAGTGTTCCAGAGGTTCTTCCCTCTCCCCTCCAGCCCAGCATGAATCCTCGTGTATCCCTCATTATCCCCCTACGAGCGTGGAAGAACCTCTGGCACCCAAGGTTCCGGCACATCAATTTATTTATTACTTTATGTCAATGATGTGAGCAGCGATTTTATTTCTAAAGGAAGAAAGAGTTTTGCTTTCCATACTTCCTTTGGAATAGAATTCCAAAGGTATGCTCCGTCATACATGAAACTATTTTTCATATTGTTAGTACACGGATTTGGTAAACTAAGATCACTTGAAATTTCCCGAAGGTTGTAATTTGTATTCTCACTTTTGTATGAAAAAAGATTAGTAAGTGATTTGGGGCCCATTTTATTTAACACTTTATACATCATTTTTGTTTTAGCTTTCTTTCTTTCTGTTTTGAGAGGTTCCCAGCCTAGTGCACGTAAAGCAATAAAATTAATAATTTACGTCATTGTTCATATCCACAATAATTCTGGCACTCTATTTTGTAGTTTTCGAAGTCATTTTGATTCCATTAATGCATTTCACCATGTATTTCACTATAATCAGTATTAACATATATTTCGGGAGGTGGAAAGTGCTTTTCGGGCAATTTGATAGGTTGCTCATATACTTGCACGATTCATATATCCGACCCAAAACAAATGTCTTCCGGGTTTGCTTCTGTTACAGACGAGCAAATGTTTTCCCACACGAAGCTGTAGTTCCGCCAAGGCACAATTTTTTAACATTTGTTGAGGTAATGATCTCAATAATTCAAGTCTGCCAATATTTTAATTGGGAAAGAGAATTAATGGACATACATTGAGTACATTGAGTTATATCATATTAAAATTAAATTACCAATGACATCAAGAAAAAGCACTGCTCTCCTCCAGAATAGCGCTAAAACACTCATAGTGTTGATGAAGCGTTTAAGAAGTACACAAAATTAATTGGATGTATTGTATTGAAAGACGTTTAGTTCAGGGAAATCAGATAGTCAGATGACGTAAAGGAATAGATTTTTTATATCGTTCCTTAAAAAATTTCTCAATCTAGAACTGAATTTTGTTTGACATAAAAACATATGGGGAAATAAGATATTAGAAATTACGTTTAGGGTTACAATAGGCACAACTGGATTTTCTAGTAGAGCGGGAAGTGGAAGTGGGAGGGATAAATAAGGGAGCCCAAAGTACTTTTATTTGTTTCTGCATAGTTTGCTTGTTCGCCGAAACCAATTTCACTTCCAGGGTATTGGATTCTGAGTTTTTTAACCAAGCTTTTCCTCTCAAAGGACCTTTGGTATGGTCTGTACTATGTACATTTTTTTTGGGGGGGGGGCTCTATTTTTAAGAATTTTGACAGAATACAATTACTACAAACCAAAACAGTTAAAACGTAGCAAGACGTAAATTTACATTACAAAATAATGAAAGCATAAAGAATGGTGTCCGTGTTTTGAAGGATTTATTAAAATATTTGTCTACGTATTTCTAAATTTTCAAAAGTTTTGTAAGAAATGTTTAATTTTTAAGGAATTGATTCAGCGTATACTAACATTGAATCAGTTCCTTCAAACATTTCTTATACGAATCCTGCTACAAAATTCCTACTGTGATCACAGAAACTTAATGATAGTGTAAACAACCCTTAACACATATAGTTTCTGTAATTCTAGATTTCCTCAAACGCGGTATGAATGGCAAAAATGTTGCCTAGGAAGTGCAGGAAGGGGGTAGGGTATAAAGTGGCCACTCTGGTTATGACTCCATAGATAAAAATCATGAATCAATTTCTGGTTGTGCTTTATACTTACCTAAACAGGTCGGAGGAGCATCATTCCATGTCCCATCTGAACAGGTCAAGATGTTCCTTCCGTGCAGGTAATAGTCTGGATCACATTCAAATTTGATATTTTCGTTATGTCTAAAACCTCCTTGTGTGATTCTCGAACGAGCTGGTGCGCCGAGCTTTCTACATGGTGCTACGGACAAAAAAAGAAACCATTCACAAATTTGTTGGGTAATCATTTCTGACTAAACTACCAAAATAAATGAAAGGTTGGGTAATATAACTTTTAAAGTCATACCCCAGTCAACAAATGGGCCGAAAAACAGTGAAGGACGCGGGTCGAAATAAAATTGACCGTATTAATGGGGTATCTTTATAAGAAAGTGTATTATTTTGGCTTTTTTCGGGGACAAAAGAAAGTGGCCGTAATAAAAAGGTGACAGTATTTACAGGGTGGCCATAAGGTGGAGTTCCATTGTACCACATTTATTACAGTCAAGTAAAGAAATCAATTATTGCCTATCAACCATCCATACAAGAAGAAAAATGCGCAAGACTTCCCCATGAAGATATTTCCTTCTAGCTCGTTACAAACGCCACTCCTCTCATACAGGTATGCAGAACTTATGCATGCATTATTGCCTTCGAGCGATACAAGAGCGGCAGTAATTCAACCGGCATAGAAAAGGGATATTGACAAAACTACAAAAGGGTAACCGGGCCAAGCGATTAGACATTATTTTAAAATAATAAATATACATACAGTAAATATAATCTAAAATGCATTATTATTAAAAATGTGAGGTAAGTTTTAAGTGTGAAACACGAGCACAACGGTGTATAACACCAACACCACTGGAACACCGCATGATGCAACAGGCTTTGCCACATTTCTGTCGCTCCAAGTTTAGCAGCACAAGCATAGCTCGCTTGCCACACATAGTATATCTAATTCTCCTTTGCAGAGGCGTTATAGCTAAACATGTGGGCTATTTGCCGGTAAATTATAAGGCGTGCAGGTAATTAGTGAATAAAGTTTCCTTTCTCCAAGCGCGCGTTCAGCAAGACTTGAATGCCTTACATTTTTCGGGTATATAGATAAAGTGACATCAAACCTTTGCGTAGGAGAGTGCAACATGGCAATTATGTTCAGCATACAATGAATGAAAAACATGCGCGTTTCATAAATAGCTCTATGAGAGAAATATATGCATGCTGCAATGCTTATACACTTATTTTGGGATCTGCCTTGTTACCTGGCTTGTTGAACATACCCTTCATATCAGTAATATAAAATGAGTTTTTATAATGTTTTCAGCGAGCTTTACAATAGTTCATAAGGCAAGACATGCATCTACCACGTTGTATAGGTGTCTGGTTGAAGCACCGCTTCGGCTTGTTGATTTTATATTTGCCTTAGTGGTTTTATTTAGAAGTAATTTAGAAGGTCAAGCACAAAGTTCTTCAAGCATTAACTTTGATTCGAATGGGTTTATTTCCAATTTTAATATCGGTGGTTTAAACGTGTATATTAACAAACATTAGTATAATTACAAAGGTGATTATCGAAAATTGTGGCCGCTGATTGGTCAAGCGACCTCGGATTATTACGCGATGATCACCTAAGCGGTTTTTTCAAAATGGCGGCGAGTTGTTTTGCCAAAGTGACAGATAAAGAAATAAGTAATTTTAAAGAAAATGCTGTACCTAAGAGCACGAAAGAAGAGACAAAATTTGGCTTAAAATTATTTCGAGGTAGGAAACTAAGTTGCAGAAATCTGCTTAACTTTATTTCCATTAAAACATCGTTTTATTTTAAATTGCCGTGCAATTGTCTAGACATATTTGTTTACGTTTGTAAAAATATTTTTTCTACAGATTGGTTTCAACAACAGTCAGAATTCACAAATGAGTTTGAAGACATGAGTATTGACGAAATGAACCGATTTTTTATCAAAATTCTATACCTTTCTGTAAGAAAAAGTGATAGGAATTACTACAAAAAATATCCTTGATGGCGATACGAGCGCTTTCATTGCGCATACTGTTTTCTTTAGGAATTTAATTAAACGATTTTCAAAAAATCAAGATGTGTTATATTATTTTTTTCAAATAATCACCTTTGTAATTATACTAAAACAATTATTCGCCTCAGTCTCTGTGAATATCGCTGAATAAAAACCTCGACTTCGTCTCGGTCTTTATTCAGCGATATTCACCTCGCCTTCGGCGAATAATTGTTAAATAATGTAAGATTATTTGAGGTGTTTGAATTAAAAGTTGTTGTGGCTCTGAACGCGTGTGTATGTTGTTTTGACCTTATATATGTAGATCACATTTGCATGCCAGGTGAGAAGAAGCTAATATTACCTCCTATGATGTCATTGAAGGTTGTATTAGCTCTAATACGACCGCTAGATTGTATAAATTAATCGAAATGAGGTAATTAATTATTAAATTAACCTGAAAAGACAAAAGAAATTGAGACAACTATAATATTACTTAAAAAACGTTATTTAATTTTCCCAACTAGTTTTAACTCTCTTTAATTGGCCTTATGGGTTAGGGGTAGGGTTCGGGTTGGGCCATCTTGAATCAGGCCCAGTTACAAGACAAAGCAAAAAGAAGTGATCCCCAAAAAATGTTGCAGCAAAAATTCCATTTATTGCCACTTGCCAAAACCATTTCCTTCCCCCGTCATATACAGGTCTTCTACCAACCTCTACACGTTGGTTTCGTTGCATTCCATCGCCTATTTCCAGTGCATTTAATAAACTGCTCGCCATCCAAAATATAATCAGTTCTGCAACGGAAACTCAGCTTATCTTCTTCTAAATTACCCCTTCCGTAAACCCATCCATTAATTACTAATGCTTTGAATTAGATTGCATATGGCTATAAAATTAAAAACATTTTTATCAAAATATATCCGTGTAAATAATCCAAATTCTACAATGCTAGTCAAACAGTATTGATACTGGGGGGGTGACACCACCAACAATTTTTAATTTAAAATGAAAAATTTGGGCAAAATAGGAAATATTTTATCAAAATAGTTGGTCAATTTTTAAACGAAATTAGAAAAGAATTGCTTTGTCGGAAATTAGATAAAAAATTAAGGAAAAGTTACAGAGACGTGGACTTATATTCTGCATTTTTTCATCAGCAACGTTTTGATATTTGCCAATAAGCTTCTAATTCATTGTTGCCATTCATCTTTCCTCTCTTACCCAAGGCATTGTTATTATTTGGGTCATAGTCACATCCTATCGCACTTATTGTATGGGATAATACCGAAATATCGTCCCTGCTCTTTTCAATATACGTTACAAAATTTTAGTTACAAAACATACAAATTCAAATTCAATAGACAACTTGCATGTTAGACAAATTTTTGATCTAGTCTATCCAGGCAAAAAAAAAGTAAATTCCCGCTAAGAACTTATTAAAATTAGTAAACTTGCAAAATTTGACTGCGAAATGTTGTAAAGCTTGGAAAATATAGCTTTGCAAAGTTTGCATATTTTCAGTATATTTGTATTACGTGTGGAAATTGTTATACCATTTTTGAGCCGAAAATGGTAACAATTTCGCTCGTAATACAAATATACTGAAAATATGCAAACTTTGCAAGGCTATATTTTCCAAGCTTTACAACATTTCGCAACCAAATTTTGCACTTTTACTAATTTCAATATGTTCTTTTTAGCTGTTGTGTCTGATTCCCTTTTCTGTGCTTAGATTAAAATTTTGTCTAACATGCAAGTTGTCCATTCAAATTCAAAAACATTTATTTAAACACGATATAAAAATAAGCAGCAAATTGCTGATGTGGTCGTGTGTTTACCAGTATAGTAAAATCTATTTACATATGCTATGTTAATATATATAGTTTATATATAAATTAAATATCGTAAGAATAATAATAGTAAGAATATATAGTAAGAATATATAGTAAGAATATGACTAGAAAAGTTTAAAAATAGATATAGTTCAGATCATTATTGTTTGTGTAGGAGGTAAAATCCATTGCCTCAAGATCTTGTCGCCGCATCAACATTTTAAAATTATTATGTCGCTCCTCGTTCTTAAGATTGGTCGGTAGTTTGTTCCACAATACTGCTCCCCTAAATGTTACTGACTTATGCAGGAAGTTGGTTTCTGGTCTTGGAATAACCAACTTTTCTGATCCTCTTAAATTGTTATCTTTCTTTGTAATTATATTCTGACAGAGTTGGTCTGATGCCTCACCGTAACAACATTTGTGGACAGTGCTTAATACTCTTTGCTTATACGCTCTGCTCAGCTATATACATACATATACATATACATATATTAATATATATATATATATATATATATATATATATATATACACTGGATCCAGAAAAGTTTGACCTTCGAATATATATATATGTCGGCCATTTTGAATTTTCTTGGGTTAATTATACGCGAACGCATACATCAAATGTCGCTCGCAACGTACTGTATTTTGCAATATTATTCCAACAGCTCAAATGAATAAAAGAATCATTGATTGATGTCTTTGCACATAATCATAATGGCTAGTAGGAAATGAACATTTGGAAATGAACATAATGGCTAGTAGGAAATGAACATTTCTGCTTCGCCAGGTCACGAATGCTGCGTGTGCTGAGTTTCAGGGGATGAAATATCGAATGACTATCGATTCCGTTAAAATTTCCGTTGTAAAAATATAATAGAGAGTTCGGCAAATACAAGGGCAACCGCAACGGCAATATGGTCATTAACAATAGCATTAATCCTCAAAGACAAAGGCGAATGTAAATTACATGGTATTAAGCGTTGTGCAATGCCGTAGTTGTTGATTCACGGTGCATGACTACGGCAACAATTCATTCGTTCGATGTTATTTGAGAGTTTTATTGAATTCGCGGACTATTTTTATTTAAGCGTACGTTTGAAAGAAACAGGAATACTTAATGAGGTAAATTAAGTGTAGTAACGTATACTTTGGCTCAAATACAACAATATAAGCAATTATATTTTCCCCGTTGCAGTTGTCGTTGCCGTTCTAGGTTGCCAAACTCTTTAATATAATAATTCTGGACGTAGGTTACAGCTATAAAATAAGCACAAGTGAATACGAAAGAATAAACAAAGAAATTCATCGAGATGCTAATAAGCGTCTAAATCTCTAAGGTGTAAAAGAATAAATTACGACATGCCAAAAAGATCAGGTTCCAAATTGTGACAA